GTTCCTGTAAGGGCATCCCCTTCAAGATACTGACAGACTTGGGAAACAGTAGCCATAATATAAAACATAGAATTTTGGAGCTAGAAGGGACTGACATCACCTTAGCCAACTCTTCCACTTCATAAAAGGGGAAACTGAGGCCCAGAAAGGGGAACTGACTTGCCCAAGCCCACATCATTCATTCATTTACCTTTTCATCCTACAAACATTTGTAAAGTGCCAACCAAAAATAAAGCCTCATTCTAAGCAAAGTGAAGCCTTTCATAAGCTCAAAATTCTGGCTCAGGAGATGAATATGAATAGAACCAGTTCTCATACAGTATGATGAGTGTTCTAAGACAGCAGTTGGCAAAGATTTTCTGCTAAGGGCTGGTTAGTAAATAAATATTTTAAGCTCTGTGGGCCATATAGTCTCTCTTGCAACTACTAAACTCCATTGTTTTGGCACAAACACAGCCATAAACAAGATGCAAATGATAAAAGTGGCTGCGTTCCAGTAAAACTTTATTTATTGCCATTGAAATTTAAATTTAGTATTGTATTCACATGGCACGAGACATCATTCTTCTTTTGACTTGTTTCAACCATTTAAAAATGTAAAAACTCTTCTTAATCCATGAGCCTACATAAACAGGCGGTAGGCTGGATTTAGCCTATAGGCGGTGGTTTGCTGACCATCGACTTCCATGAACAGAAGTTTCAAGTGATTTTTCACCATCCATGAAGGGTATGATCTAGTTGTCGATCAGATTCTTTTACCAAGAATAAAAGGGGAAAAAAGAGTATAAACTTGTCAGTGTCACCCTGAAAAGTCAGGGCCACTGAGCTGGGTTCTAGTCATAGGTTAAGAAGAAGCCTGAAAGCCCCCGGTTTGTCCCACCCCACCTCTATTTCCAATTGAACTCCAAATGCCTCTATAATCTTGAGCCAACTTTAACTTACTACTTTTTACATCACAGAGACTCTCAGTTTTTTGCAGTTTGAAATGTAAATTCCCCTGCAGAAGAGCTGGACCTTTCCAAAGTTTCCGCATGGCCATGTTTAGGAGAGAGTCCAATGGGTATACAGGACTCAGTTCCTCTAGGGTTCAGGTAATTTTTTGACAGAATTGGGTGCCCTGCATGCAGCTTTGGGGAAGACTAACAACCTTTTCCTAATAGATATGAGCACATGAGCAGTGTCATTAATCTTTGTATGCCTTGCCCTTCAGAGAAGAGTTTGGTACTTCAGAGTCACCCAACTTTGTCATGGGCAGTTTTCCTGATGGACAGGTATGTGATCTTTCCTTAGAAGAGAATTCTCTAGGTCTCAGTTTCCTCACCTGTAAAATGGACATAATATCACTTGTATCATAGGTTTTTATGAGATCACCTGTGTGATAGCACTCTGTAAACACTATATAAATGATCTTATAACTTTCTACCACTTGCTTCCATCCCTACCATCCCTATGCTCAACAAGCCCACTCAATCTTTCTGGGCCTCATTTTTCTTATCTCAAAAGAGGGTAAATTCAATCATTCTAAGTTCCCTTCCAACTCTACCACTCTGGCCCTGTGCCTTGTTAGGAAGGGAGTTTTTCACTCTTATGGGGAGCAGTTCTGTGTTATGATCAAAGGCAAAAGGTAGGAACAAAGGTAAGGTATGGAAAAACCCAGAAGGGGACCTTGGCCATAGATAGGGAGTAATACCAAGTGCCCTCCTCATTCAGTGTTCAGGATAAAATGTCTGCTTTCTTAAAAAGCAAAAATCCATGTTCTTTGGCATAGTCTAGATTGGCTTTACAAGCAGAATGCTGAGTTTGAGAATCTCATAGACCTTTCTTTTCTCATTTTCTCAGAATCAATCAGTGCTTGGAAGTGTTGATGAAATTACCCATGCAGCAATTTTTAACAAGGGACTCACTACCCAGATGCTTCAATGTGGAATACACATTGCTATGTCATGCTTTTTTACCTCCGCTGGAAGTGATGGCTTCCACAAAGCAGACTAGGTCACATCTCATAACGCCAGGGTCCTGAACAGATTTTTCCCTCCTTTCTATCATTTTCCACTTTCATAAAGAAGGAGTGTGCAAGCCATTGACCAGTAGGCCAAATGCGATCTTCCCCTTCTGAGGAAAGTGACTTTGTTTTTATAGAGCCAGTGTGAAACAAAAGTAGGCATGGGGCTGGGCTGGAAAATGAGGGGCAGATGAGGCAGACAAGGAAATTAGAGAAAGCTGTTTTTCTCCTCTTCCATACTCCTGGCTTGAGATGTTTAAGGAGGGGCAGTGGGGATCCATACCCAGGACCTATCCCCTGGCTCTACAGGTTGCTTTCTACAAAGGAGAATGGGTCTTTCTACAAAGGAGAAGGGCTATCTGGGGTACTAGGCCTCTCTGGTGTCCAAGAGGTGGGTCTAGGCCTCTAACAATAGGCAAATTAGAAGCCTTGTGAACTCTTTTGTGACCTACATGTTATCAGTCCACAGAGATAAACTAATTTACAAAAGAATGAATAGTAGATCACAGTTTCCCACAACTACAGAACACCAAGAAACACTTCAAGACATCTGTATATTCTGTACATAATATCAAAAACAAGGTATGTCCCAAGTAAATATCTTGGGTTAACCTATCTCCGAAATCAACTACTTATGGTCCTTTGGATACTATACCTCAAGTTGTCCCATCACCTTTGTGCATTTATTCAAACTATTCTGTCTACTTTAAAGATCTTTCCCCATGAAACATTCTTCCATCACTGAGCACTGCTGGTCCAGATCCTACCATGGTTCAGGCCCCATTTCCAGTACTAACTTCTTTAGAAAGACTTCTTCCATTTATTCGGCCCTTGTTATGGTTACTTTTTTATGAGTTTATGTTTTGCCTCCTCAAGAAAAGGTTATATTCCTTAAGGCATTGAACTAATCTTTACATTTCCTCATGTTCAAAATGAAGCCTGGTTCAGGTCCTTCAACAAAGGAGGCATTCAAAAAAAAAAAAATCTGTTGATCATTCAGTTAACCAGAACACAATATCTGAGATCCTCTTCTATAAATGGAATGTTTGCACTATTTAGAAGTCTGAACTACAAAGAAATTGTTAACAAAGTTTTCCATTCAAAACAAACAACCAACTCCTAGAAGATTTCCTGAGTTCAACACATTCCAACAAAGTTTTGCACCTTCTGCATATTTAGCCAAGCAGTTGAATAATTTGAATTCAAGTTCTGAATAATAAGCCTGAGGCATGGCAAGGTCTTCAATCATCAAGAAAGATTCAATTATATTCAGTGTGTGCTTTCCAAAGGAGGAGCATGGATGAATATTTTGAAAAGGTTTTCAACAAGAGGGATTGAACTAAAATGTTTTCCTGAATATATGTAAAACGAAGCCACCACATGCCTCATCCTTATCCTGGTTCATAAACTCTTTGCTATAATTTTTTATCTCCCCAAATAATTAAGAGGGAGGGAAATGTGAAGTGTGAGATGGAATGTGCTATGGACCGAATGTTTGTGTCTTCCCCAAATTCATATGTTGAAATTCTAACCCCCAATGTGATGGTATTAGGAGGTAGGGCTCCTGGGAAGTGATTAGGTCATAAGGGCAGAGCCCTCATAATAGGACTACTGTCCTTATAAGAAGCGGCCAAGAACATGTGTATAGTGATGGATGGCAATTAGTTCTTGGGTGGTGAACCTGAGGTAATCTACACAGAAATTGAAATATAATCGTATACACCTGAAATTTATATAATGCTATAAACCAATGTTACCCCAATAAAAAAAAGTCTATGACACTCAACCTCGAAAAATAAACAAATAAATAAACTACATACTTCTTTAAAACAGTTATTTTTTTAAAAAAAAAGAAGAAGAGGCCAAGAGCTAGCCAGTCCTTTTTCTGCAATCTGCAAATCAGGAAGCGGTCCTCACCAGACATTGGATCTGCTGGTGACTTCATCTGAAACTTCTCAGCCTCTAGAACTGTGAGAAATAAATTTGCGTTGTTTAAGCAGTGAGGCTATGGTATTCTGTTACAACAGCCCAAACGGACAAGACAGAATGTTTGTACCTACAATGGCCATGATACTTTATAGACACAGTCTCAATCTGATTAGCAACCCTATGAGGCAGGTATCATATACACCTGTCTTACAGACGACAAAACTGAGGCTAATAAGGGGTTAAGTAACTGTTCCAAGGTCACAGAGCTGAAAGTAGACCTAGACGTAGCTCTCATTGGTTTCAAAGCTTATACTGTTTTCACTGAATAATGCTGCCTTCTTACAGTGTTTACACAGCAATCCAAATAGATGAGAAAAATGGGTTGAGATTAAAAATGTTTTTAATGGAAACGCAGTGTGATGTAACAAAACCAAACCAAACACTGGACCAGATGATAGAAGATGTGGTTCCTACTCTACTGTGAACCACCTACCTGTATGACCTTAGCCAAGCCATTCCATCTCAAAATCATAAAACCAGACTGTAAGTGCTGAAAAATGCATCTTGAAGATCACTTATCCTTACCCAATCTTCTCCTCTTGCAGAAGAGGAATTTGAGGTCCAGATGAAGCCATATGCCTACAGTCACATAAGAGCAAAATTCAGGTTTATCAGACCCATCTAGGGCTCCTTCCACTGACTTGTGTCTCTGCTCCCTGGGCATTGGTCTCCTCATAAAGCAAATCTCCAAGACTAAGTGTGTTGTCTTAGTCAGTTCAGGCTGTTAGAACAGAATACCATAGGTTGACTGTGTGGTTTAAACAACAAACATTTATCTCTCACAGTTCTGGAGGCTAGAAGTCCAAGACCAAGGCCCCAACAGATCTGATGTCTGGTAAGGGCATTCTTCCTAGTTTGCACAAGGCTGTTTTCCTCTTGCATCCCACATGCCTGAGAGAGATCATCTCTCTTGTGTTTCTTTTTATAAGGGCACTAATCCCATTCATGAGGGCTCCACCCACATGATCTGATTACCTCCCAAAGACCCCACTTCCTAATACCTTCACTGGGGGTTAGGATTTCAACATATGAATTTTACAGGGACACAAACACTCAGTCCATAACATTGTGGTCCACTTAGATTGTGGTATGCAAATGTAGAGGATTTGATTATGATTTCCTAGTGCATTACTAGAAAAGTGAGCGGTCTCAGAGATACTACGAGAGAAAGACCATACAGCCTCTGAGCCCAGGTGTGTGGAGTGTGTGTGTGTGTGTGAGAGAGAGAGAGAGAGAGAGAGAGAGAGAGAGAAAGGGAGAAAGAAGGAGAGGAAAAAATACATCCTAGAGAGAAATTCACCCTTAGGACTGCCTCAGATCTCAAGAATATACCTGAGTGAGTTTCTGTTCCTTATAACAATAACAAAAACAAAAACACCTAACGAATTAGAAAATATAGAAAAATATTTTTATCTAAATTAACTCTTTCCAGAGCATCAAGTGATACTCTCCTATAGTGTATATAGGTAGAAACACTCAAATGCTAGTATCTTGAAAAAAGTTATATAATTCACCATAAAAACACATCATTTACTCCTGGGGCCTCTCCTCAGACTTTCAATCTCAGTTTTCCACCAAAATAACTATTATTAATGTAAAAAGGCTACGAACTACCAGCATGTGAGGTTTCGCTCAGTGAGGCACTGGTGGAACAGTCCTTGTTTCCTTGTTACTGCATTTGACACATCTGTGCTTCCTGCAGGTACATTTTTTTGGCCTGGATCATCAGGGCAGTGTTTTGTTTAGCAACTGATGGGCTTTTACTGAAACACCTCTCTGCTTAGAGGGAGAAGAGTTGCCTACGTCACCTTAGAAGTTAATATATTATGCCACAATGGAGCGCAGCTCAAGGGTATGAACAGTATTTCCCAAAATGTTCTCCTTGGAATCCCAGCCCTGTGAGATGCCATGTGACAAAAGGTTCCAAGGTCAAATAAGTTTGGGAAACGCTTCCTTCTGTATTGCCTCTCTTGGAGTCATTAATGCACATGAACTTGTTAAAGTCTTCTCTGCTGGCTCCTCTTCTGTACCAGATTTCTAAATTTGAAGTGCTTCAGGGTTTGGCTTTGGGCCTTAACCCTCTGTACACTCCCTAGGTGATCTCATCCAGTTCCAGGACTTTAAATGCCATCTGCATGCTAATGATTTCCTAATTTATATCTCCAACATTTCTCCTAAGCTCTAGACTGATAGATATAAAGATACAAAAGATCTGTCTACTTGATAGCATGTCTTACATGTGTAATATGTATCTTGAACTTAATGTAGCTAAAATAATCTCTTGATTTCCCTCACCCCTTTAAGCCTTTGCTTCCCTAGTCTTTCCCACCTCAGTCAATAATCTAATTGATTGCTCAAGCCCAAAAGCTAGAAGTCATCACTGTCTTCTCTCTGGTCCCTGTTTTCAAGGTTAAACCCATCAGGAAGCCCTGTTGTCTCAACTCCAGCAAACATGCTGAAGCCACCCACATCCTATCCGCCCTGACAACCTCATCATCATCTCTTAGACGAACTACTGCAAGAGCCTCCCAACTGGTTTCCACTTGTAATCTTGGCCTCTAAATTCTATTTCCTACATAATAGCCATGGAGATTTTTTTTCAAATTGTAAATTAGGTGGTGCCAAGATTTAAACCCTTGAAATTCCTTCCATTGCACCAAAAATCAAATCTTACTTCTTACCATGGCCTCTAAGATACCTCTTCACATGCACTTCCCCCTCAGTTTCTCAGCTCCAACCTCAGAACCTCTTTTCTCTTCTTCCAACACACCAAGCTTTTAACTGCCAAGTCTGTGGACTCACTGTTCCCTCTGTCTTCTGGGTTTCCCTACTTCTAGTTTTCCCCTATAACATCACCCCTTAAGGTCTTCACAGTCCACACTATTATTTGAAATCTTATTTGTTTGTTCACTTTTTTTGATGAATCCCACCTAAAAAGTAAATACTATGAAGGCAGGGCAGGGACCTTATCTGTCCCGTTCACTCTTCACCAGGGTTTTCTCAGTACCTAGAGCAGTGCCTGCCACATAATAGGTACTCAATAAATATTTGTTGACTGCACAAAATGATTTGAGAACTTATGCAGTGGAGAAAACTGCAAAACTTAGTTTAACCCAACATTCTTCAAATTTATTTGACCACAGAACCCTACCTGCCATTGTAAAGAATAATCATTATCCCAGGGATCATTTCCTAGAATAAACTTTAGTTTATGCTGGTTTAACACCAGTATTGAGAAGAGCTAATGTTTGAGCCCCAGTGGGTCTTTATCATCAAAACTTGAGAATCTCTTGTAAGCAGGCATTTTGGGAGGTTTTTGGGAGTCCAGGATATTTTTGTTGGAGAATGACAATTTTAAAAGTAAGCTGTTGACTATTTTTTCTTTGAGATTTGGGTTCAAAAAATCAAGAAAGCAGCTCAAAATTACAGGGGTCAGGGAAAGAGGAGGTGTTGGAGGTGGAAGAGAAGGAGTCCAGACAGGATACAGCAAAATTAAGGGATGTGGTTGACTAAGCGTAAATGAGCTTGAGGCCGAGTAAAGCTTTCCTACTTCTAATGGAATTTTTAGAAACAGAAACCTGCAGTTGGAAACTTGGCTATTTTTATACTGTGTATGTTTTCTGTAATTATTTCTTTTCTGTTTTCCCTCATGTTTAGTAAAGCTGTTCTTGAAAATACCGGCTCATCTCAGTTATGCCAAGAGAAAACAGTTTTGTCCACATTGAAATTTTTAAAGGAGAACCACACAGCCTTGGGCGAGGCATGAACAGGTGATGTGTTGACACGGAGAATCTGGAAAACAGAAACCAAAAGTAAAGAAGAGAGTCAAGGCTCAGAGTTGGGGGGAGTTGTTTGGCCCCTTCCAACCTGGAAACACTCTTTCAAGAGTCTGATTTGGTTCAGCTCTGATCTGTTTAAACTTTGCAGGGTTTTGTGCTGAGTCCTAACTAGACAAGGCTAATTCTTTATAAAGGGCACACATATACGACATTACACTATAAAAGACAGTTGACAGGGCCAGCCCGGTGGCGCAGCCGTTAAGTTCACACATTCTGCTTCAGTGGCCAGGGGTTCGCTGGTTCAGATCCCGTGTGAGGACATGGCACTGCTTGGCATGCCATGCTGTGGTAGGCGTCCCACATATAAAGTGGAGGAAGACAGGTACGATGTTAGCTCAGGGCCAGTCTTCCTCAGCAAAAAGAGGAGGATTGGTAGCAGTTAGCTCAGGACTAATTTTCCTCAAGAAAAAAAAAAGACAGTTGACAGAGGAATTGTCTAGTTGCATGAAAAGCTTTAGGTAAAATTAGGCCAGGAGAACTTGAGAAAATCCTCAATGATTTGAAATGCATGCAAGGAATATGTGAGAAGTTTTGTACACATAGCAGAGTGCTCTGAATTTGGACCCTGTATTTCTCAATCCATGACTGCACTAAGATTGGCAACTGGATTTTGTCTTTGGGGCAGAATCTTGCTTTATCCCTAGAGAGACCAATGGGAGATCATTTTTGGTCACAAAGATGGCTGAAACCCAGGGGAATAACCCAGAAGTAAAGACTTAAGATTAGGGGAGTCAGGTATTATATTAAGTAATTAGTGAGTATTGTATAAGTAATTAGTAGGATAAAGGGCTGCCTCTGTGGCAGATAGGCCGCAATTTTGAAGGGATATTTATGTTGCTTGTGATTTTTCTATTAGGTAGTACCTGGTCTTAGGGAGTGTCAGGGTTCTCCAGAGAAACAGAACCAACAGTGTGTGTGTGTGTGTGCGTGTATACATTCTACAGGGCCAATGTCCCAGTTTGAGTCTTAAAGCTAGAAGCTGCTGCAGAACCAGGAAGAGCTGATCTCCTAGTTCCAAGGCCATCAGGCAGGAAGAGCTGATGTTCCAGTTTAAGGGCTGTTAGGCAGGAGAATTCTCTCTTATTTCAGGGGAGGGTTAGCCTTGTCAGGCCTTCAACTGATTGGTTGAGGCCCACTCATATTATGGACAGCAATCTGCTTTACTCAGGGTACTGATTTAAATTTTAATCTCACCCAAAAACATCCTCACAGAAATACTCAGAATGACGTTTGATAAAATATCTGGGCATCCTGGACACATAACATTAACCACCACAGGGAGTGAGAGATGTGCATAATCAGATTTCCATCCAAGATGGTGAACTGGCTCCAGAAACATGGTAGCAGGTTGGACATAAGAAGGGAGAGAATCAGACCCTGTATCAGACATAGCCATTGGATTTCACGACAATGATACTTGCGATTCAGTTTAAGTTTTTCTTTTCTATGCTGTATTTCCCATGTGTTATCTTCAAACCTTAGTGTTATGGGTTAAATTGTGTCCCCATAAAAAAGATATGTTGGAGTCACAACATCTAGCACCTTAGAATGTCCCTTATTTGGAGATAGGTTGTGTATAGAGGTATTTATACCTTACTTGGAGATAAGGTATTTATAGGGTATATATGAAGGTAGTACCTCAGAATGTCACCTTATTTGGAGATAGGGGATTTATAGAGGTAGTAATGAGATCATTAAACTGGGCCCTAATCCATTATGATTGGTGTCCTTATAAGAGGGACAATTTGGATTTATAGGGTATATATGAAGGTAGTACCTCAGAATGTCACCTTATTTGGAGATAGGGGATTTATAGAGGTAGTAATGAGATCATTAAACTGGGCCCTAATCCATTATGATTGGTGTCCTTATAAGAGGGACAATTTGGACACAGAGACATGCCTAAAGGGAAGACAATATTAAGAGACACAGGAAGAATACAGCCATCTACAAACCAAGGAGAAAGCCTGAGAACAGATCCTTCCCTCAGAAGAAAGAACACTGCCAACACCTTGATTTCAGATTTCTAGCTTCCACAACTTTGAGATAATCAATTTTTTGTTGTTTGAGCCACTCAGTTTGCAGTACCTTGTTATGGCAGCCCTCGGATACAAGTACATTAGTACAGTCCACTACACATAGTAGCCTGTGTAAACCATACTTGGAAGAATGGAGGAAGGAGCTGATGCACATCTAGAGAATGAAGCTCCATGGGTAGGGGGAGCAGCAGCACAGAGGAGAGATCATAAGATGGCAGAGACAATTGGGGAAGAAGCCCAGAGTGATGAGCTATGGTCTGAAGAGAGTCTCAAATGAGGTTTTGAAGATGATAGGACTTTGTATACAAAAAAAATACTATAAACAAGGGTATATATCATTATGACTTGACAATATCATTACCAAAAAATTTTACTGGCTACCTACTGGAAAAACTACTGACACAGCTAGTTCATAGTGATCATTCCTGTGTTTGATCAGCTGAGAAGCATTAATGGGGTTTATATTAACTTTTGAAATGTTAAAAATTAAAAGGTTTGTATTAACATTGACAAAGTTAGAAAGTAAAGGGTATATATTAACTTTGACAATGTTAAAAATTAAAGGATGATCTTTGACTACATCTGCATCAACAATTGAGGCACAAACATCTCAAATAGAGGATGTACGGGAGCCACAGTGACTACAGAATCATGCCTTGCAAGTACATCTCTTTGTCTGAATGCTACCACACGAGCATGCTAGTCCCTTGTTTCCTGAGGTACCCCTTCCACTGAAATGTTGCCCTAGATATAAATAAGGAGCACTATAAGGCCATAAGAGCAGAAAAAGGAAAGATGAATAGAAGGAAAGGAGGGAGGGAGGGAGAGACATAGGACATTTTCTTACCCCAGAGCCAAGTTCCAATCCATTTGAAATAACCAGATGTGGTTTCAGATAATACTGGATATTTCTAAAGTAGATCATTGGGATATTTGACAAATGTCGTAGTTAAATTATTAATATGGGATAAAGATACTATGTAATAGTAATCTACAAAAATTAATGCTTCTTTAGTGTCTTCATTTCATGGTTCACTTCTAAAATCTTTGAATCAGCTTCTAATTTCAGAAAATGGAATGAAGATTCCTTGGAGATCTAGGAACTAGGCAGAAGGGAAAGAAATTCAATGACAGTATCTTAACATCTTTAATAATGAGCAATACTAATATGATAACAACAGCTATGCCTTTATTCTAAGGATTTCCATTTTAAAGGCTTGCTGTTATTCATTTTCCTTGCCTAGTTCCTTGTTAATTATAATTTTGGGGGGCTATGTGCATGACTTGAATTCTATCAAATACCAAATGATTTCCCACATATCTAAGTTTGGAATCTCTCTCTTTTAATAGACAGAAATTACTCTCCCCCAGAGAAGTGATATAGCAACAATGTCCAGACAGTCAAAACGAATGTCATTGTCTTTCTTCCTTATTGATGAATAACTGCTGATGCTTCTAGTCCCAGGTACCGCTAGGAAAGAAAATGGTAACACATAACTGGCAATAGCTTTCCTAGGACAGAGGGTGGGAGATGGATTGAGTGTCCTTTTACCTTAGGGATATGTTAGCATATCTGCAAGGAAAGTACTTGATGTGGTTTCTAAGGACATGTTTGATAGATTTTCCTGGCCTAGGATTGTCCATGTATAGGATATATTGTCTTTATGTCTCTAAATATTCTGCAAACAGTCTGACATTCACTGTACTCTGTGAAGTCATTTTTGTAAAGAAGGTCCTAAATGAAACAAATGGCTAGGACAATGACTTTGGGAAGGTCTGAACCAGTTCCGATGTAAGGCCTTTTCCAGGAAAATCCCAGGACTTTTAGGGGTGCTTGTTTCTCATTCCATTGCAAAACATGACAGTCTTGGGTAGACTTAATACAAGTGAACATGATTATGCAGCCCTGCTCCACATCAGCAGTGAGAGTAAATGCCTCTGCCAGAATTCTGTTTCTAGCCAGACATCCATTAGTAAACATCGCAGTCTTAAAGTATTGGTTGGCTTCTGTGGCTGACTCGTCTGCATAATGGAAACTAGGTCCAGATTTTTTTGAGTATCAACATGGGGAAGCATAGAAATCCTGTCTCCAAGAGATGTAATTAGAAACTTGGGGCATCCAGAATAGAATTTTGGTAAAAGTCTGATTAATTTCCTGTTTTTTTCAACTTAAAATGTTCTTAATTGAAAATATAAAAATATTTCCTTTGTGTTTCTTGTTTTGTGATAATGCCAATTAAGGAAGTACTCCCTAGTTCTAACTCTGCGTTGCTCAGTATTGCCACATTACTTTCTTCATAGAGATCAGCATAAATTGAAACATCGTTCTTTAACCTGAGTGATTGATTGTTCCAAGTGGCTATTTCTAACGAATTGAGATGATTTCGTTGAAATGCACATTATAAATAATAGTATTATTTTACAAATTCTTAAAATAATGATCCTATTAGTTAGTATACACTTCATGGTTTTAAAAACATGTCACCCTGTGTTCTCTCTTTTAATGGCCCTATAGGGTGGGAAGGGAAGGCAACATCCGCCTTTTACAAGTGAGAAAACAAGCTCAGAGAGATGAAGAACTTGGCCAAGGTCACAAGTAAATTAGGCTGCTCTCAAGATCAGCCTGAAGGTCTGTGATAGTGTTTTCTTAGTATTCCTTGTTGAAGAAGGAGAAACTGCCAGTTAGATGGGAGGGTTCCAAACTCCGGAACCTGCACACAAGTCCTTTAATCTCATCTGGCTCTGAGCTCCCTGGCTTGCTAGACCCCTGTAGTGATAACTGCCACTACAGCTTGTCTAGAATGAAACGCGTTTAACCTTAAAAGATTTACTTACCACACATGCAGGTAGTGAGAAATTACAAAGTCTTATCAGAAAGCCAATGTGATTTTTCCAAAGAAGATATACAGATGGCCAACAGGCACATGAAAAGATGTTCAACATCACTAATTATCAGGGAAATGCAAACCAAAACTACAATGAGATATCATCTTATACCCATCAGAATGGCTATAATTAACAAGACAGGAAATAATAAGTGCTGGAGAGGAATTGGAGAAAAAAGAATCCTTATACACTGCTGGTGGCAATGCAAACTGGTGCAGCCACTGGGGAAAACAGTATAGAGATTTCTCAAAAAATTAAAAATAGAGATACCATATGATCCAGCGATCTCACTACTGGGTATTTATCCAGAGAACATGAAATCGACAATACAAGAGATTTATGTATCCATATGTTCATTGCAGCTTTATTGCAATAGCCAAGACATGGAAGCAACCCAAGTGCTCATCAACTGATGAATGGATAAAGAATATGTGGTATATATATATATATGTATACAATGGAATACTACTCAGCCATAAAAAAAGGATAAAATCGTCCCATTTGCAACAACATGGATGGACTTAAGGGAATTATGTTAAGCAAAATAAGCCAGACAGAGAAAGACAAACACCATATTATTTCACTCATATGTGGAAGATAAACACATGAACAAGGAGAACAGATTAGTAGTTACCAGAGGAAAAGGGGGTAGGAGGTGGGAAAAAGGGGTAAAGGGGCACATATGTATGGTGACAGATAAAAACTAGACTATTGGTGGTGAGCACAATGCAGTCTATACAGAAACTGAAATATAATAACGTACACCTGAAAGTTACACAATATTTTAAACCAATATGACCTCAATAAAATAAAATAAAGAAAGCCAAGTGATAAATTTTTGAGGCTATTTCATAACCTGGTAGTACTTGACATGGTTACAAAAATAAATTACGTGGCCCTCTCAAATGAGGAACAACAAATAAACAAGGGTGGCAAGTGGCAGAGATCAGCGTAGAAGTAGTGACACATCTGGTAGGCATTCGTAAATAAAAAAATATTGAACTTGTTGGGCCTCCTTCCCTGGAAGAACCCTGCGAACCTCCACATGTTCTTTTTTACAGTCACCACAACGGCCCCACTGAGAGTTGCCTAGACAGGAAGTATCACCCCATTTTACCTATGGAAAAGCTGAGGGTTCAAAGGTCAGTGGACTGATCCAAGTTCACATAGTGAGTCACCAGCAGAGAGTAACCCCAGTGCTAATTTCTCCTCAATGATTTGATTGTCACAAGTGACTTTTTTGAGGTAATCAAAGGAACATATGTGGAGAATGAGGACATTTATGGCACACTTATTAAATATGCAGGTGACAAAGACTGAGTGCTAGGCCTAGCTCTGCCCCTAACTGGTTAAGATTTGAACAAGTTACTCAACCAGACTAGGCCTCAATGTCTTTCTTGGAGAAATGAAACAGTTGAACTAGATTAGGGATTTTCAAATTTTCTTCTTTTTTTTTTTTTTTAAGGAAGGTCTTAATGTTTTAAACATTTATTCAAAGTACATTGTGATGTTATAAATGTAACTGATTAAAGCTGAGCTGCATACAATCCCACCTCCTGCCTGGCTCTCCCTATTTCCTACTGGATTTCCTGGACACAGTCTAAAAACCACAGTATTAGGTAATCCAAAAGCTCCTTCCTGTCCTAAAATGCAATGTTTTTATGATTGGAAGTAATCAGCTTTCTAATTTGCTACCTATTCATGTCCCCTACAGCATCTTGCGGTATAAAAAAGCCCCAGACTTAGAGTCAGGGGAACTGGGTGTGAATCGCTGTTCTACCAACCAATTATCTATGTCCACTTAATCAACTTGTCTCACCTCTCTAAGTCTGTTTCCTCATCTGTAAGATGAAGATAGTAACCCTTCCTGGTTAAGAGTGTTTTGTGAACTATAAAAGATTGAATAAATGTACAGTGTAATTAGTATTATCTTCTGTGCACAACACCTTTCCCTGTGTGTTCTGTGCACAAGAAGCTTCCCTGGGAAGATGGCTTTATCCTCAGAATGATGTGGAGTACCAATACGGATTGAGTAGCTCTTTGGGAGGCTTGCCCAAGAGTAGAGGTGTTATCTATCACGTATTTGGGCTTCATCTTCTCTGTGAGCTGAAAGCCAAGTCAGTAGAGAGGGTCTGAGCTATCAACATACCAAATAATTAAACCAAGGAGGGATCATTGTTAAGTTTAAAGGGGAGAATTGTCTGCATGATCTACCCTTGATAATAATGACACAGCTATATTTCCCCCTCCACATGAAGCCATGACTCAATAGTAATTATTGTCATTCATTGAGTGCCTACCATGTGCTAGGCACTGTTTTTACATGTTTTCTCATTCGAACTTCACAAGAACCCTCTGCAATGGTGTCATGTTTATTTTATAGTGAGAGAGAACCAATAGAATTGGGTATTATTCCTATTTTTATAATTTAGAAAGGCTAAGTAATTTTCTCAGATTCATACAAATGGCAAGTGGCAGATCCTGAACTCTGAATTCAAAATGCTAAACTGCCCAGCTCTGCATTTCCCAGTTGGAAGAAATTATTTTCCTCACTCAGCATGAGGGCCAAAAGCCTCCATTCCTCTTTATCTTTGCAGTGCCTTAGTCAGCTCCATCTCTCCATTTTTACTACTTTTTTTTACTTCTTCCTCCATTCAAAAGTGCTTCATTCATCTTCATAAAACTCAGAGATGGGAAGCGCCTATTAGTCATTAATGCCCCCCCACCCCCACCCTTGTCTCCTGCTTGTTCTCTCTAGCATGAGAGTTAGGGAATGAAGTCACATCTCTTAGGGGAGTTAGTCCCGTAACTAATTCATCTCTGTCAGGAAGACTTATCCTCCTCTTCAATTTTGCATTTTACCCAATTCTTTCTCTCTGTGGGCTGTACTCTTCAGCTCTTCAGATCGCATTGTCTAAGCCTGCCCAGGCTCCCAGCAGTGATTTTGCTGAGCTGCCTCTTCCCCTCACGCGAGGGCCACATAGTTTTCTTATTAGCACCTGGAAGATGCTTACCCCAGTAGACAGAGGTAGAGGTGAGCTATGGGAGGATGCTGGGAAAGAAAGCAAGGAGGAAGAGGCATGAGCATGAGGCTTGAAACCTGCTTAGTCAGCAAACCTAGGACCCATTTCCACTTGGACATTTCACTCAGGTGGCCTCTCCACTGGCAGCAGAAGCACTTACTGTCCAGCTAGGCATGATTCCATAGGATGCTACGCAAGGCCCTAAACTTGGTGCCAGAATCACAGAAATAAATGGAATACATCACCGCAAGGAAGACAGTGTGGTCCAGCAGAAAGCACGTCAGCTGTGGGATTTGAAAAATCTAGTTTGTCATTGCTTATACTTTTTACATAGCTATGTGGCTTTGGCAAGTCATTTAACTCCCTGAGCTTCAGCTTACTCATTTGCAAAATGAGTGAACAATACCTACATAAGTGGTTTCTATAAGAATTATAAACAATGGCTGGCACACAGTAGGTACTCAATTAATGAGAACTCTTGTTTTTCAAAGCCCTAATTCTAAGTCACTTGCCCTAACCACTTCCTCATAACTCTGTATCCCATTTGGAGTCTCTAGGCAACTGTTCTTACCTCTTATTCTTCCATTTTCACTGCACTGCAAACAAGCCTAGAGCATTCTCATATTCTGGTTTCACCTTCAGCATCAGCAATTCCACACAGTTCACCACTGCCTAGAAAGCAGAACTCAGATATTAGCTATCAGCTCCAAATCAACATTAAGTTTGCTTTTCAATTTTCACTTTGATGTGAACGTCACCACTGACATGCTGGAATGGATAGAGATACTATTTGCCATCTTTGTTATTAGGTCTGTATGTACGTTGAAAATTTCTCATTTGTATCAAGGAACCATTTCACATGCATGGGTATTGGCAATAATATCTTAATATGCAAACAGAACCCAAGTTGAATGAAATATTTCATTAAAACACTCACATGAATGCATGGGACCATTCTCAGCCAAAAGGAAACTACCTTTCTCTCAGGAGAGTGAAATATACTCATTTAACAAATATTTATTGAGTTTATAATGTACAAAAGACCTTGTAAGTGCTGGAATACACTGGTTGACGTGGCAGACATATCCATGGAAACAAATCCATTTGGAAACAAATCTCCCCTTTCATGGAGTTTACATTGTAGTGAGAAACACACAGTAACACATAAATAAAGAAAATTAAGTTGAGGTGATGATTGCAATGAAGAAAACAAAACAAAGTGATATACTAGCGACTATAGAGGCTATTTTGTTTATTCATATTTTTACTTTTACCTTAATTAAAAAATCAAAGTAATAGATGCACACAGTTGAAAAAAATCAAATCCCAAAATAAATCTAATAAATAGGGAGAAGAGAAGTGTGAAGTCTTCTCTGAGGAGCTAACTGGGCTGAGACCTGAATTATGAGAAGGAGACAGCTATAAGATGGTCTGGGAAAAAGCATATTAGGCAGAAGGAATAGCTTCAAAGGCACTGAGTGCAAAGGAGCTTGGTGTACAGGTTCATGGGACAGAAGAAAAGGATAATGTGGGTGGGGTGAATTGAACAAAAGGATGAGAGGTAGGAGGGGAGGTTATAGAGGTTGTAGAGGCAGAGCCAGGTTATGTAGGATCTTATAGGGTATGTATGGTAAGACTACTGGCTATGTTCTAGTTATAGTGGGAAGCCATGGACAGGGCTGGATTAAACAAGGAAGAGATATGGATTGACTTATGTTTTTAAAAGATGATGCTGTCTTCTGGCTAGAGGATGGAGTAAAGAGGAGCAATAGTGAAAAGAGTTAGGAGGCATTTATAGTAGTCCAGATGAGTGATGGTGGTGGCTTGGAGGAGGATGATGATAGTAATGATGGTGAAATTCAGGATTTATTTGAGAAGAATTTGTGCAGAATTTGTTGATGAATTGGATTTGGGGAGTGAGGCAAAGTAGAAACTAGAATGAGTCCTAGGTTTAGACCTGAACTCCTGGGCATATAGTGGTGCCATTTATTGAGATAGGAAAGACCGGAGGTAGAACATGTTTTGGGGATTTGGTTTTGATTTGGATACGTTAAGTATGAGGGATCTATGAGACAGTCACATGGAGATGTCTAAAAGGCAAATTTGCTTGGCTATTAACAGGATGTTTCCATTCTCCTCTCTCACAATGCACAACCAACTTGTTGGTTAAATTAGAGATCTGCAAGAAAAAGGAGCAGATACCTATGCTAGTCCCAGATGCCTTTGTAATCAATTTGCAACTTTCCTAAGAGTTGATTCAGTGGCTCAGGGGACCATGGTGGGTATTCCTTGGACACCTATACTACATTCTAAGATGTGTCTGAATAGCTGTGGTTTGTAGAGGAAGTAGTTTCCCAGAATAGAGTTATATTCGGCCAAAAAACATTTCCAACTACATTTTCCACTTGGCATGTAGATAGGATATGGCATCTCATGAAGATATAATACAATCTAGTTGGAAAATGTTTCTTAGACATAGACATACTGAAGAGAAAAGGTTTTATTTTTCTTCCCCTTCAGATTTTGGTTCATACATTTATAGCTCTTATATTTGAGAGGATATCAAAGAACAATGGGTTTAGCTCCTGGTCTCAGGCATGCAAGGCATCAAGGCAGCAAACACCTCGAAGAATCAGACCTCTTTTTGTAATAGAGTTTTCGGCCTTTGAGAACTGGGCCTTTTCTTCAACATTCTTACTTTACACATTCACGTCTTCAAAAACTTATTTTTCAGCTAAAAAATTAATTGTAAATGAAATAATTCAATATAGACAATACATTTAAATGATTTATAATCACTAGGATGCTTCCTCATATGCATTTGTGCTTTGAAAGTGAAAACCATCTTCCCTCCCACCACTACCACCCTAGTGCTTAAATATCTCCTCTGAGATGTTAGTTTGCTTTTCTCACACACAGTTCTTAAATTAATTTCTGGCCTATTCCATCTAGGATTGTAATAACATGGGTTTTGATATTGCTTTACAGCTGGGCCCTTTCAGTCTATTAGACTCTTTTATAATATGCTTCTCTTTCCTATAACTGGCCTCTTACTGGCTGATGAGTCTGTTACCTTTCTGGAAGCTCTCCAGAGCTAAGTTCGTTACCAAATTGTGGTCTCCCTTAAGCTATAAATCCCACGCCCTACCCTCCCCCCAAACTAGTCTATTTCCAAGACCATCTCCCCTAACTGTAAAGCAGAAATATTATGACACATTGATACAAAGAAACTAAAGCAGCAGAATTTTTTTGAAAGCCTAGGAAGCAGCCCATCCTATAACAAAACTGAAAAGTAATCACCATTATCTACCTTCAGACCAATACCACAAACTAAAAGAGGAGGGGAACATTAATTTCAATAACAACTTGCTAACATATTCCACCCTTTCTTCTCATGGGCCATTTCTACACCAAAGGCCCGAAGATTTTGTTTGCTAGGCCTTTCAAGGTAACATTAGAACTTGTGTTCTGCACAAAAAACTAACTCAAGTCAGCTTGTGTTCTCTGAAAATGTTAGCTCAACTCTTGTCAATTACTTCTTACCTTTGTACAAGACAAACTGATTCTTATAGCTAGGCTTGCTTACCAAGAGTCTTAGGAGAATCTCCCTTCTTAGCATCATTAATGCAGAACAAAGGCTGGAGGTACAGACTGTGCATTACTTTAGTCTTAGTTCCTTTAGTCAAGATTAAGAGTTGCACCCACCAGAAAAGAATGCTCTCCTTAGGGTTTAAATTGCCAATTTCAGAGGAATTATACACCAGAACCCCTCAAGTATCACGACCTATTTGCTCTTTCCTCTACCTCCTCAACCAAAAGGGTCTCTATACTTCCTAACAAAATAACACCTACCAGAACACTAACATAGAAATGAACAATCTATTTTCTATTTAATCCATATTTTATAAATTGTCTACAATCTATTTTATAACCATCTATTCCATTTAGTCTCCCCCTGGAACTTCTACATGCTTCTTTTTTAACAATTTTACATTTCAGCCAGAGAATTTTAAGGTGGATTTAACTTCTTAACTATCTATATTCAATAATCTCTTGTGGGGCTTGCCCCGTGGTCGAATGGTTAAGTTTGTGTGGTCCACTTTGGCGGCTCAGTGTTTCACCGGTTCAAATCCTGGGTGCAGACCTAGCACCGCTCATCAGGCCATGCTGCGGCAGCGTCCCACATACCACAACTAGAAGGACCCACAACTAAAATATATACAACCATGTACTGGGGAGCTTTGGGGAGAAAAAGGAAAAATGAAATCTTTAAAAAAAAACCAAAAACTCTTGAAAAGCTGAATTGCACTTATTGAAATTCTGTTTCCTTCTTTCCCTCTTCTCTTTTTTTCTTTCCTGAGATGCAAATTTGGCAACATGCTGAAGAAAATGGACTGAGAGGGCATAGCCTTTGGAGCCAGGTAGACCTGGATTGTGCTCTTGATCTAATTATTCAGCTATTCAGAGTTCACTTCCTGGAAATGGTAATAGTCTCTATCTTATGGAATGTTGTGAAGATCAAAAGAGATGTGGCAAGGCTTAAACCCAGTGCCTAACAGTTTGATTAGGCAAACTTTGTATGTTCCAAGCAAAGTTTCTAGGTCCCAGGTTCCTATGGGGTCTGGGAGTTGGATACTAGATCACAGAAACTACTGTTTCCCAAATTTTCCTGATAACAAGAATTTCTTATGGTATTGGCTAAAAATATAATTTCCCTGGTCTCATCCAAGATCTGATGAATCAGAAACTCCAAGCCTTGAGAGTTAAGGAATTGTATTTTTAACAAACATTCCTTGTGATTCATATCATCAGAAAAGTCACGGAAACACTGATATAGACTATTAGTGTCTTTTTATATTCTGTAATTACAAGCAAAATTCAAAATAAAATAACATTATTTTAATAATTTGATTTTTTAATATGTGGAATTTCACTAGCTCCTAGTTAAATTACACAGTTGAGTATTTTAACTGAAGTTTACATCAAATATTTCAACTTTGAATCCATGTGTCTTTTTCTCCGTAGGTTCCACAAAACAGCCAAATTTCATTCTCTTTAGTGAATAAAAATGACACTGGGTTTGGCTTTAACTGATTTAGTATCAGCAGAATAAGAGCCAAGAATACTGTAAAGCACTTTGGTAATGTACAACACTACATAAATGATTATTATAACAATTATTAACTGTTACAATTATAATAATAATGGTCTACATCTACAAGACTTAACTTGTGAGTTAGCCAGCTAGCTGCATTTTAATATGCTTTTAGCAAATCTCTCTAAGCTTCATAGAGACAAAGCTTGAAATATTATGCATAAAAACAGCACAAACATCCCTTCCTGCTTGAACCCAAATTACTTTTTATTCTCTTTCTTTTTTAAAGATGGGCCTCTAGCTAAACACACATTTTAGGTTACATTTTGCAATATGTTTAGATACTTGTGTACTTTTAAGCATTTGGCATCCAGCTATACATTTACTATTTCATTCAAAGATGACACCGTGGATGGTGATTACTCTTTCCTTGTGTTGTATGTGGCAGTGACCCAGACGAGTGAGAAAATGAGGAAAAAGGGTGGGAGAAGGGTTGGGTAGATCAGTATAACAGCAGCAGCTCTTTCTGAATGAATGACTATTCAACAAGGCACATTTACTGAGCTCCTACCAGGAC